TTTTTTTGTAAAATCAATTTTTAAGTATTTTTTGAAAAGAAAAATCATCTTATAATAATTTGACTTTTTAATGTATGTTTATTTTTTCAAACATACTATAAAATTTTTACATAATAATATAAATATAAAATTATATAATAAATAAAAATAATTCATCTTATAATAATGAACAATTCTAAACATTAAGTGATAAATTACTCTTACATGTTACATCTTAAGTTAAAATAAGATTTAAAGTCTTTAAAGAGATTATTTAAATAAAAAATTGACCCTATAATTTATAAATAAAATAGTTAGACAAGTCAATTTAAACCAGTGTTTTAACGAGTCAAAAAAGACTCTAAAACAATATAGATCATGATATATTTAATATATAATTTAAGTTATATAAAAAAGCATTTCATTTAAAGTTATAAAAAGTTTGAAATTGAAAATCTTGAATGTTATTTAATATATAATTTTCTATTTATAGAAATTAATAAAAAATTTAAAATTTAATTTATTTACTCGTGTAAAGTAGTTGCAAACTCTGCAATGTGTTCACTGTACCCCAAAGCAATTAATTTCATACTTTTGATGAAAAGTTTGGTTTAAATTCTTTCATATCCTTTAATAAATAAAGTTCATGAAGTTCTGTTGGAGTGTAAAATAACATTTTTGAGTTTTTATAGTCAGTGTTAATTGTTAGATCATTCAAGTTAGTATCTTATTAACTCTCTTATTGTTATTCTTAGAAGAAAGCTCCTTAAAATAGTTTAAGCTATCATTAAAGGAAAATGTTCTTTCCTTAATAATAACATTTGACTTTCTTATAGGGACTGACACTGAAGGGATGTTCAAATCAGTATCAACTAACTTATCATTACATAAGCTGACAATATTCTTGTCTTTATCAACCCCCTGTTCATCAACATTGAATGAACCCAACTTATTGTCATTACATAAACTTAGAATAGGAACAGTCTCATTATAATCAGTGTTTATGTTAGGGTTGCTTGTATTGTCTATATTTGAATTATAAACAATATTATCATTCCCCTTATAAAGACTTACAATATTCTTATTATGTTCTAAATTTTCTTCTTCTAAAAGAGGGTATTCTTCCCTATTAATCACGTAATTAGATCCTTTATCATCTCTTAAAATTACTTCTTCTTCGCAGCAAAATATCTTTCTTATACATCTTGTTATAAAGCTCATTTGTGTTTTTGTTTATATTATCAAATTTAAACCTATTTTAAAACAAAAATCAACAAAAGAATTTAATTGTTAATAATTAGTTTTTACAACAATTTATACAATATTAATGAGATAATCATCATACAACTCTTTGTTTATATTCTGATGAAAAAAATTTAATTTAATTTTTATATTTAAACTTTTGTAAAAAAAATTGAATATTATACTTAAAATTATTTTCATAAACCAAAATATAGTTTATTTTTTATTAAATAAAGTTATAATTAATTCAGTAAAACTTTTTTTAATAAAAAAATAATGATGTTATCTAATTATTCAAATATATAAATATAAACTTTTTTTAAATTTTCTATTAAATTATAAATAATTTATCTTATGTTTAATCATCACAACAACATTAAACTTTAAAAAATTAAATCAAATAAATGTTTATTAAAAAATAATTTATTGTATTTTTTTTCACTTTTTATAATTTTAATAAAAAATTTTATAATTTTCTAATGAATGATTTTGATACAGCAAATATCAATCGAAAGACTTTTAAGAAGTTAACTGAACATCCTAAAATAAATAGTACGGTTAAAAAGAAGACAGTAATATTAAATAAGATAAGTCAGATCCATTTTGAATCTATAGATGAGATAATTTTATTACTTGAAAATGAAAACATGAAACTGTTTGATTTAGAAATAATTGAAAGTATGATTACTGCCTGTAGTTGTGATAAAATAAGATTTAATGACATTCATAACTTAACTAAGATAATTTATCTTTATCAGTTTGATAGAATGTTTATATATAAAATAAACAAGGTACTTAGAGAACGTTGTAAAGATTCTGCATGGGTAGTTTGTTTGTTTATAGAAGTTGTGTTATTAAAAGAAGGTGATATTAGTTCAGTAACTAAGATTATTAAAGATAATTTAAAAGAAAAAGACAAAATGTTAATTGTGATCAATTATTTAGTTTTTAGTGTTAATCTTGATATAAAGTTAAAAGAACAATTTAGTAAATTTTTAAAGAATTATAAAAATACTAAAGAATATGCAGATTCAGATAGCGAAGTAAATTATTTTAATTCAACATGTAAATTATTGAATTTAGACTTAGAAATACAAAAGAGACAACTTTTTGTGAAAGTTATTAATGTTGTTGAACATGAATTTGATTTTTATAAGAGAAATGACAATCCTAAGGTTATTGATGATACAAATTTTAGTAATTTAAGTTTAAATAAATTGAAGTCTAAAATAGGAAATAAAGAAAAATGGTCATCGTTGTACTTAAAATATAAAATTAATGTAGATCTTTTATTTACCGATAACACACCATTAGCTCTTTATCCTTTTATTGCTAAAATTGTGTCTGAATATGATCAAGCTAGATTGAGAAAATTTAAAGATAGATTGAAGACTAAAGATGTGAAAATTGAATTTATTTGTGAATTAGTTAAATTTAAAATCTCTAAAGAAATTAAGGTCACATCAGTTCTTGAGAAAGCTCTAGTTGAAAAAGATTTTAAAATGATTTGTAGAATTCTAATGAATATTGGAAGATATTTATTAAACTCAGAGAACTCAAATAAGTTTATGATAGATTATTTAGATAGTCTCAATACTTTGTTATCAAGTAGTGAGTTGGATAATAACACTAAAATTGAAGTTAATAATGCTCTAGGATACATTTATAATCACAATATTTACTTCGATTCACATCAATATGTCAAATACGTAATTAACAACACACGATTACTTAATCAAATTAAAGATCATAAATTAGCATTAAGAATACTTCTACTTAAACCAGAATTATTTAATAACACCGATATGATAGTAGATTTTATAATTAATTATAATCAAGACTTAATAGAGCTTTATTATAAATATCTTGATTTTTATTATAAAAAATCACTTAATCGGTATTTTATTTTTATAGAAATAATTACAAAGTTTATTAATGTGACTGATCGAAATAAAGATTACTATTGTCAAAGATTATTTGAAATTGAGGTTAATTCAAATATCAAAGTACAAACATTAATTATTTTATTTGAGAATTATAAATTAATAGATTTATATTTAGAATTTATTGTTAAAAATATTGATTTATGTAATGATGTTATAAAATCATTATTTTATACTTTTTTAAATACAATTGATAGAAAAGTAACTAATAAAAAGACAGTTAATAAAACAACAAAAGAAGTAAAAGAAGAAATTGACTTTGATGATGAATTTAAGTATTTAGAAGAATTATAAATAAAATATTTTAAAGAAAACTTTAATTACCATTGAACTAACTCTTCCTCAACATCATCTGTTTTTTTCTCTTCATAACTTAATTTATCTTCTTCACCATCACTTTTCTTCTTTTCATATAAATTATCTTTTTTTATTTTAAGCTTATTTTTTGATTTAAACTTGTTCTTATTTAATAATTCAGATGGTATCTCATTAGAACTTGTTTTTAGAAAGTTAATTAAATCATTTAACAGTTGATCATTTAAGTCTAATTTATCATTATTGATGTTGATTAAGTTAATAGCTACACCCTTTTTACCCATTCTTCCTGTTCTACCAATTCTATGTACATACTCATTAATTTCTTTAGGAAAATCAAAGTTTATGACGTAATTAATATCTTTTACATCAATTCCTCTTGAAAGAACAGAAGTGGCAATTAATATGTTAGTTCTATCAGTTTTAAATGACCCAATAGCTTTGTTTCTTCTAAACTGATCTTTATCACCGTGAATACAGTCAATCAATAAATTAGTTGTTTTTAACTTATTAAATAACTCTTCACAATGTTTTTTAGTTTCTACAAACACCAACACCTTATCTGGTAATGTATGTTTAGCCCAACTACCTTTAAAAGTGCATTCGTTATTTAAAAAGTTGATTAGAAAATTATACTTTTCATTAAACCCTTTAAAGAATTTAAATTCTTGTTTTATTTCCTTTTGAGTTTCTTTCATCACAACACTTATTTTATTAGAATCGAATAATCTGTCAATCAAATTTTTAATAGAAGTTGGATAAGTTGCACTAGCTAATATTTTCTGAACTTCTTTAGAATTGAAATAACTAACAACTTTCATAATTGGTTTCTCAAATCCCATGTCAAGTAACTTATCAGCTTCATCAAGAACAAAGCATTTTAAATCATCAAGTAGAATTTTCTTTCTTTCAAGTAAATCTAACAATCTACCCGGTGTTGCAACCAATATATCAAATTTATCATAATTATCCAATTCTGTTTTACCACCACATACAGTACATGCCTTTATCTTATTAAACTTATCAGTATTTTTTATTAAATTTTGAAATTCATTAAAAGTTTGTTCAGCTAATTCTCTTGATGGTGATATAATTAGTGATTTATAATTGGAAGTTTTAAACATTTCTATAATTGGAATTGCAAAACATAAAGTTTTACCCATGCCAGTAGGCGCTTTAACAACAATATTTTCACCTTTGAGTATTACTGGAATAGCATATTGTTGAATAATAGTAGGTAGTCTCTCAACTTGGTTTAAAAACCCATTTTGTTTCATAAAACTAAACTTTTTAAAGTCTTTAATAGGCTCATACTTAGAGTTAGTTTCTATAAGCTCGTTTGCTTCAATAGATTTACTTTCATCAATATTTTTATTTTCACTAGACTTAAGCTTTTCGGTGTATTCTTTAAAAATAGCTGAATTGTTCTTTATTTCACTCGGATCTAATAGAAATTCATCAAAATTGATATCTGTTATGTTACTTTTATACTGTTTCTTTGAAGATTTAAATATATCTGTGCTATTTACTTTATCTTTGTTACTTTGTTGTTTCATTTAAATGGTATTAAAAAATTATTAAAAAAATTCTAGTATGATTTCAAATAAAAACTTTTAATTAGAATTTTAAAATAATTCTATTTAAGTAATCAATGTCAAAATGATAATTAAATTTTTAATTTCTGATTAAAAAATTTTAAAATAAAATAGACGTTTAAAATGATCAAAATCAATCATAAGCTTAAAATAATTTTAATTTTATCAATATCAACTTTTATTTTAAACTTTATTGAATACAACTATCTAATATTAACGTTAAGCATTAAAAATAGACTTTTATTACCGTTTACGCTTATCAACAACAAATGTTTTTTAGAATATTTATACTATAGATTGATCCCCATCTATGAGGTAGATATGAGACTATTTTCTAACGAATATACGTATGATTTAGTGGTAAAAGGAATAATAGAAGAGTATAATTATGAGGATGGAATTGACTATTTAGATGTATGTGGTGATTATGTTCACCAAATAAGAAAATTTGAAGGAATTGATTTAATTGAGAATCCTTTAAATGAAACAAACAGAAATTTTTTAGAAAATTTAATAAAATGATTTCAGCAAAGAAGTGTACATTAATTATTACAGAGCCATCAATTAAAGAAATAATTCTAATGATTGGATCAAATGAAAACTTTATAGTAAAAGAAATTAATGATAAAGCCCTGTGTATAACAAGAGAGGCTGGTGTTGATATTCAAACACAAGTTGATAACATTTTAAATAAATAAAAATATTTACATAAATTTATGAAATTAGAGATAACAAGACCAAATACAACAAAAGCAAGAAAAGCTTATTTATATTCTTCAGAAATAAAACATGATACTATACAGTATGTTATACTTGAGAATCAGTATCTCTGTACCATGAAAGGAGATAAGAATATTAGTAAGGGTCAAATAGCTATGAATAATTCACTTAGAAGATTTATAGGAAAGAAAGTTGGTGATAATGTTTATTTAGAATATTATAAAAAAGATATTATTGATGAAATAGAGTTAATGAAGATTAACATACTAGCAATTAATAAAATATCAGCAGAGAGAATGACACCTGTTGAATATGATAGTGAATTGTTGATTAGTGAAATAAAAGACTATTATATGAATGCGGGATTAAATAATAGTCAAGTAATAGATTTTTGTTACGAAGAATATTACTTTTACTTAGAGATTGTTGATATGAATATCTTATCTGGTATGTTAACTAGTAAAACTAACATATCTTTAGAATCTAATCACCCAAATTTAATATTGAATCAAAGTATAAATAGTGATTTAATGAGACCTGATTTTGCTTTTGAGAAATTGGATATTGGAGGGCTTAAGAAAGAATTTGAACAAATGTTTAGAAGGGCTTTTGTTCAAAGATTGTTTGACCCTAAAACGATTCAGAAGTTAGGAATGCATCATGTTAAGGGAATTATGCTATATGGTCCACCTGGAACTGGTAAGACGTTAATTGCTAGAAAGTTAGGATCACTTCTGAATTCAAGAGCACCTAAAATTGTTAATGGACCTGAAATTTTAAATAAGTACGTTGGTCAATCAGAAGAAAATATAAGAAATTTATTTGCTGAGGCTGAGAATGAGTATAAAATGAAGGGTGATCGATCGCAATTACATATAATTATTTTTGATGAAATAGATGCTATTTGTAAAAAGAGAGGATCAGATTCCAGTGGAGTCGGGGATAAAGTAGTTAATCAGTTATTAAGTAAAATTGATGGTGTTGATAGTCTTAATAATATTTTGGTGATAGGAATGACAAATAGGCTTGATTTAATTGATGATGCATTATTGAGACCGGGTAGATTTGAAATTAAATTAGAAATTTCTTTGCCTAATCTAAAGGCGAGACAAGAAATATTTCAAATCCATACAAAGCAAATGCAAGGTAATAATTTCTTAGATGAAAATGTTAATCTAGAATCACTTTCAAAATTAACTAAGAATTACACGGGAGCTGAAATAGCAGCAGTTGTTAGAAATGCAGTTTCATTTTCATTACAAAGAAAAGTTCAAACAGTTGATGATAAAACAGTTGTTAAGGATGAGAAATTTACTATTTTAGAGAATGATTTATTACAAGCAATAAGAGAAATTAAACCAGCTTTTGGTGTTGATGAAAGTGAGTTGATGTTAAAGAAAGTTTTATATGAAACAACGCATTTTGTTAATCTTTCCAATTTAGGAAAGTTACAAATAGATAAATTACAAAAAACTGATATTTATAGAACCAGTTCATTATTGTTTTATGGTAAGCCAGGGACAGGTAAAACAACTTTAGCAGTAAGAACTGCTCTATCATCACAATTCCCATTCATCAAAATAATTAAACCAAAAGACTTAGTGGGGTTACCAGAACATGAAAAAGTTAATTATATTAAAGCTAAATTTAATGATGCTTATAAATCAGAAGAGTCAATAATTGTATTAGATGAAATTGAATCATTAATAGAGTACGTAAATATAGGACCAAGATTCTCAAATAACATACTACAAGCACTTAAAATTTTTATAAAAGAAGAAAGCGATAATAAACTGTTTGTGATAGGAACAACATCTCAAATAGAGGTGATGGCAGCAGCTGATTTGGTAAACTGTTTTTCAGAAATAACAGAAGTGAAAGAATGTGACAATACAGACTTTAATGATTTATGTGAACAGGATTCACTATTCAAATCAATTAACTTTACTAAAAACATTTCTATTAGAAAGTTATTGAATCAATTAGAAATTCAATAAACTAAAAATTAAATAAAAGAAATTTAAAATTTAAACAAAATGGAAGAGGAGATTAATAAATTTAAAGATATAGACATAGTAGATTATTTAAATAAAACACATAAGACAAGTGATAAATTCCTAGTAGAAACACAAATACATAACTTAAAGAAGTATCAAAAGAAATTAAATGAAGATTTGTATAGTGCGTTTATTACAAACAGTGATGCTTTAATTAATATTTTAGACACTTATCAATACTCATATAACATTTTATTAGGATTGAATGCATCAAAGAATATTAATCATGAAGATAATGAAGTAAATATTCATATTGATAAGTGTAAAGAATTATCTAGAAAGTTTAGATATTTTAATAATGACATGGATCCTTTTGTAACTGATGAGAGGTATTTAGTAATGGCTGGATTTTATAATGAAGATAAAATATACTTGGTTATTAGTAATGATTTAACCTTTATAGGAATTAAAACTGAAAAGAAATATGAATTAAAGAACTCTTTCAGTAATAAACTAGTTAGTGTAACAATGAAAGGTAAAGATTTACAATTAAAAATACAAAAAATTGAATATTTGATAAAAGGTTCTAAGGAATCATTACAAGATATAATAGATATTTATGATGAAGTTAATTATGCTTATCATAATGAAGAAAACAGACAGAAGAGTGCTATCGATAAGGATTTAGTTAAGTTTTACATAATTAGTGAGCAATTTAATTTACTTAAAGATTATTTAAAAGATTTTAATAAGATTGAATTAAATCTAACTAACATTCCTGTTTATTCATTTAGTCAATTGAAGACTTTAATGAAAATATCAAAAAATGATAAAAGTATATTTAGGAAATTTATTATTTATAAGTTTAATAAGGGATTAAGTAAAATTGATAAAGTACAGGAAGTTAAGTCTTTGATTGATGAGATGTTTGAGTATTTGTTTTTGTATGTTGACTCACTAGAAAAGTTATACAATAAGTTGTGTTTATCACTTGAAACACTGCCACTTGATATTGAATTACTTATTAAAGAAGTGTTAAACTCATTAAGTAAAAGAATTTATAATAAATCTTTTCAAATTGACAATACTAATGAATATTTGGATTTAGTTGAGTCTAAATTAGTTTTTAATGGATATAATTATAAATATCTATTTAAGGAATTTACAGATCAAAATAAAAATTTTAATGAAAAATGTATAAAAGAAGCTGAAGATCAGATGAATGAGATTCTTAAGAAGTATTTTTGTTAATAAATGTTTTTATTAATTTAATAATAAGGTTTCTATAAAATTTCCAATTATTATAATCTTATCTGTTACAACTATCTTATACGGATGAAATAAAGAATGTTTATATTCTTTTATAACTTTTAAACTGTTTAAATCCACTACTTTTATAGTTTTATCATAACTTAAAGTATAAAGTAAATTATTTTTTATATGAAGATCTACAATTCTATTAGTATGTATTTTAAGATTTTTAACTCCATCATCTTCTACAACATAAATTTTATGACTATCACATGATAGTAGTATAGCTGATTTATAAACATCTGTTTTATAAACGTAACCTTCTATATTACAAATTTTTATTATTTCATTATTGTAATATTTATAAAAAGTATCGAGTGATGAGAAGTATAAAACATTGTTTTTATAACATAATGAACTAATAGTTGAGTTAAAATTGAATAGAAGTTGATTATTTAAATAAACACTGCCATTTGATAATGAAATAATAAAATTATTTTCTGAATAAATTGATGTTATAATTCTAAAATTATACTTTTTATACTTTTCTATAAAAATTCTTTCTTTATAGAGTTTTATAGAATAAACATATCCAATTGATGTAGTTACTATATCTTTATAAATACTCTCTATACTTCCATTTAACTTTAACACATCAACAACACTGTTATTTTTTAAT